TTACTATAATGTCTATACATTTTTTTATGGCATTTGAAAATTCGTATTCGTATATTAATTATAGATACAGATATTTTATTGAAATTATTATTCACACAAAACAAAATTCAAATAAAATATAGGATATCCCGTTTATGTTATTCTATTATCGCAGTTTTAAAATGATGACACGTTTCTAGTTCAACTTACGTAATTTGAAAGTTCATCATTCCGTTTTGATTGCGGTCAAATGCATAATATGTAGAGCCACGCAAAATACAATTTCTCCAAATCAAATCAAATCAGGATGGATTTTATTGACGTTTTTCTAGCTGGAAAATAAATAAATCCTCACATAATAATGAGAAGGATTGGAACACTGATAATAAATAAGATAAAATAAAAATAAGTATTTCACATAGATAAAAAGCTATCAAAACTTAAATAAAAGCCATACAACTCACACAATATCATACTTGAATTAAACAATAATGATAAACTATGATGTGAATTCTTCATTGTCATTAGGTTATGAGAAAAGTGAATGGACAATATTATGGAATCAAGTAAGATCTACAAGTAAAAAAAAACAGAATGTTTTATTTACACTTTGAAAGGTGAACTCCAGACAACCATTCCAATTTATACATATAGGTACTCCTTATTTTGTCAATTTCTATTGTTACTTTCTGTTATCCTTAACCATCTACTAATTTATGAAAAATATTGATTGTTTCTGACTATGGAATGAATTCTGTCTAATGAACGGGTTTCTTTTTCATCGTAAAATAAATCATAAAGGACATCTGGTCCCATACCCATAACCCAATGCTAGACTAGCATACCCCCGCAACTGCAATTTTTGAATAACACATTATGTGAACTAAAATGAAGAGACAGCTGGGGGAGGTGCTGAGGGAGATATGAAAGAGCTTCGAGCATGTGTGAGCACGAACGCTAGTGGCAGTTAGATATCCTGGGTCCAGTTTCATCCACATATTACGAACGAACTTGGGGAAAGTTTTTTTTATCGTTAAATTATACTAAAGCAGACTTCTCTTAACCTAATTTTCCTGTTTTCACATTTTGAACCATTCATTTTCTTACACGTCTAAAATAATACCCAATAAATAAAACCTATATACATATTTATTAGATAAAAGATCCTCCATCTATATTATATTATAAATTCAAATGTTATCGCACAAAATATATTTTCAGGATCAGAGTAAAACCAGCAAGTCATAGACTCTTAAATTATAATAACTTCTCTCCAAGGTTTTTGGCATCGGCAAGCAAGAGAATGGTTCAGCATATATTTATATTGCTATCTCGTCGGTGTATTTTTTGTGTGCGTGTTTGCTTATATTCCTGTCTGATTTTATGATTATTTATTACCTATGTATAGTTTACGAAATTTCCAAATACTCATTTTCAAAACGTCTACGTTTTACCCTTTTTGGCCATTTTCGAAAATTTTATTTGTAAACTTAGATTGCGTTTATTTAGGAATATTGACATGGACATTATATGTATACAAAATGTGTCCATGAAGCAATGTATAAATTCATTTAAAATTCAAGTATTACAAAAACGGAATATTAAGACTAATGTATGTTATATCAAATTGTTTTTTGAGGTAACATAAATGCTCTCATGGATCTTAATTCATAGAAGAACTTATATTTAAAATATTGCACTCATTGTACATTTTTACAAAAATTAGTTCTTGAAAACGGGGCAAACGGGCTATCTCGAATAAATGTCGTACGCTCTCCAGGTATAAACTATATATACCTTTAAAACAAAGTCGCGTCGGTGACAACATTTATAGCTCGAGAACGGCTGGGCCAATTTTTATGATTTTTGCTTTGTTGGATTTGTCTTTGTCCCAACTAACATAGTCCCTATTGAAACATAGAAAAAAATCACGAAAAACAAATTTATGAACAAAATTCAATAAACCTTACATTAAATCCACATACGGCGCCATCTCTGATAACCGATACGAAGTTCGCCGCGTCAGATTGCGCGATCTTTTCATAATTTAATAAACACAAGGTTATGCTGAACGTCTGAGAGTTTGCTTGGACATGGATATCACAAACTACAAAACAAAGGATTTCTTATCGGAATCATTCGAATCATCTTTATGGTGTACTAGCACTGTTGCTGACATCATCAGATTTTCCGACAGTTGTTTGCGACAGCGGTGGTGTCTTAGAATATAAACTTTTGAAGAAGAATATTATCAGAACAAATGAAAAACGAATTGGTCTATTCTCACAATCCTCATGTATTTGGCTACTAGTTTCTAGGTCAATCAGTTAGACCCCATCATCAGGTCGCGTTAGGCTACAATAAAAAAAACATACCAACTTAAAATTAACAATGTTGTTCATAAACATGAAAATAAATTTAAGAAAAACAATTTAAAAAAAGGAACACTTTAAAAAACACTTTAAAATTATTTCATACAAATATACTTACATACAAAGGCTTCAGGACAAACACAAGGAAAACACGATACATCTAAATTAATTAAAATACGTAATAAAAGTCCCAAATCGTCAGTGGTTCTATGTTGCTCAATTTTTAATTATTAACAGACTATGTATTTTTTTATGTATATATCTTTCTTGCTGACGTATATCAGAGTACCACTAATTAATTTCAGGTGGCGAAGGAGCAGTAAATAGACAAAAATTATAGAATTCTTCCAATTTATCAGGCAGGTGAAATATTATTGAAAATGTTTCGGTACTAAAATCAGAGAAGGCGTCCGAAGTACCGTACTCATTCTGTTGTTCTTATTATATTCTATATGAGGGCAGTAAAAATTGGAAACTAATCCAAATTCAATAATTGCTAGCTAGTTTTGTATAAAGATGGGAATACATAGTGACTATATACCTAGGTCGAGACTTAGGTACTGCGTGTAGGTATTCACTATTATTTTAACTTATCTAATTTTGTTTTTAAGAAAATTCATTGATGTGAACATGAAAAAATTCAAGGTTCTCAAAATCTATTTATTTGCCATAGAAAATAGCCTGCAAGTCCTGAAAAAATTAAATAATAATCTGATAATACTAGATGTATTTATTATAATTCAAGGACAATAATTTTCCACCACACTGTTTTTCACAATCAAGACCCTGTTGTAAAGAATAGTTTTCTTCAACACGATCAAAATTCTATTTTCCTCGATTCCCAACTTGATTTTTACAGCTCCAATTTCGTCATCTTAAAACCAGATTTTTCTTTTCTATCGAAGCTCTACCCTAATCAAGTTAAAATCATTTCATATCATACCTGTATTGTATTGTAGAAAGTACATTTTTTAATAGACAGTTGTGCTTTTGGGACAAATTTTAATTTGTAGGAAGGTACATCAGCATCAGCTTCAAAATTATGAAACTTTAAAAAACAGGGGGCCTATAGGTATAGGTATCTACCTATTAGGAGATGAAGGGAGTGGGAGTATGTGGGTATACATGGGCTTAACTGCTTTAAGGCCCTATACCTGGGTACTGAAAAGAAAATTGTGAAAATTGAGTCATTTGCACTAAGCGGCGAAATATGATTTGATTTGAACTACCCATATCTGAATTTTTTTTTGAATTGATATAGAAAAAACAAATGCATTTCTGTTCCACAGCTTCACAAAAATCGAATTTCACATAAATAAATTAAACAAACTCCCAACAAAATCTCAAAAAAAACAAATGTTTTAGGTTAACTTTTGTTGTTGACATCATTTCAAGGTTTCTAACGGGCTAAATTTTGCGTTACGTTAGGATTATTGACTTTTTTCAAGTTGACTTAGAATTTATTTCAATATTTTTCCTTACTGCATACCAAATATTGAAATTCACGAGGTCACTTGACTTCATTTCAACATCTTGAAATTATAAAATGTCAATAATTGAAAAGTGGACTTACTGCATAGCAAATATTGAAATGTCTCTACAATTTCAACTTTATGTCACAATTTCAACCTTGACTAAAGTCAATGTGCTTACTGCATAGCCCTGAATGCCAATTCACTCAACAACTAAAAAACCGTTAAAACATCTGTACCTGTAGATGGTGCATTACAAGTACTAGTAACTGTAAAATTGTAAATTGTAACTTGTAGTTTTGTGAAATGGGGCCCTCTGGGATCCCAAGGAGAGATGCGGAAAATCAGGCAGGTTCTCTAGTTTCCAGGTTGAATCTTGATAACAATGCTTCTTACAGTCCAGTCAAAGTACCACTTTCAAAGAAAAGAAATAGCTTAACCTAGTAAAATTGCTAATGCCGAATCAAGAGAATATATTTTTCTAGTCTTAAAATGACTTAAAATAAGTTTTTCCAATTTGTCTTAATTTTTTTCATAAATAATCTTTTTGTGCGATTTTAGTTATTTTGTGAAAAAGTCTGTGAAAAACTATCTTGGCTCAATGAATTGCTAAATGCTAAAGAATTACAGTGGTGAATACGATATTTAAAATGGAAACATTCCGCGAGCTGCGTGAAATTGCAGGATCTCAAAATCATGAAATAATGCCTCTTGAAACGTAACTTGATGCAACAGAACAGTAGGTATAACCATAACCTATTTCTTTATTGCTTTTGGTCTGGAAAGAAAACTTGAAATCAGAAATAAATCCGGATTATATAGTTAATGGGTGAAATTGATTGACGTGTGAAATAATTGCTTGGCTATCTGTGCAAATATCGATGACCGTGTTACCACTACCACACCCAGTTGTGTCCGAAACTCATCCGGTAACGTGACAAACGTGCCATCGAAGATAATTTAGCCATAAATTAGTTGGCGGTGAACGTCCTGTGAAATGCGTTTGCCGTCAATGGCGTTTGATGTTTTCCTGTTTCCTGTAATTATTGTTGGCTGATACATGGGGTTAATCAACTGGAAAACTTTGTTAAAGGATGCCTTCTGGTCGGGAATACTACTCTGATTAAACCTGTGTGATAGATGGAAATTATTTTTTTATTTTTTTTTTCTTTTTCAGTGATTATTACATGACATCAGCTGGATGGATAGGTCAAAAAAACACACAAGTAGCCGTGGTCTGGGGTAACCGAGCGCAAAATTTGAGCATCGTTTCCGCCTGTCTGTCTCCCAACTGGACGTGCATCGAGGTAAGTAGATTTTGTTGCATAAAATAGCCATACACTGCTAATCACTTTATTTTTAAATTCTAGTAAATGTACCTATAGAAATTTTCAGCTGGCGATTAGAATGGCCCTATACTCAGTTCAACTCGATTGCAATTTATTTACTATTACCTAAATCACGAATTAAATTGATTTTGTTTAATATTGTGTTCTAGAGTCACACAGAACGGGCTTTAGAAAGAGCCTGGCTCGAAGTACAAGAACATCCGATATTTTCTCCAGACGGCGACAGTTTTTTAATGTTGGCTCAAGTTCAAGAAGGCAGTAGGGAAACTTATACTCACATCAAACATATAACGGTTACACAGCAACATATCGCTGTCCTCAGCCATGGCCGGCATGAAGTAACTAAAATTTTGGCTTGGGATACTACCAGTCATCTCGTGTAAGTTTTCATATTTTTGTAATTTTGTTCCTAACTTTAACTTCAAACAATTATTAGATGGTACCTTGCAACAGAACAACACAAAACCGGCCAAAAACATTTGTACGTTTCTCAAGATCCAACCATAGACGATCCACGTCGACTAGAATCGTACTGTATAACCTGCGATTTAGGCGATGTTCTATGGAGCAGTCGTTTCTTGTATGGAAATTGTACACATTTTAATGCTGCTGTAAGTATAAGTCACAACGGTTCAAACAAGCAATTCGCAATTTCATTTATATTTGAAAGTCGCATTTCAAAAATGTCTGATGCAATTTAAACTTCAAAAAAAACCAATAAAATAAGTTTTGCAAATCAAATAGTCTCTGGGGAACAAGGAATAAGCAGTGTTTTGCATAGAGTTATAAAAGTTTTTAGTTCGCTTAAGGGTCGGGCAATTTAGGCATATGGGTTCAGGTTTGTTTATATTCTTAACTTTCCACATTTTAAAAGTTACTTGGTTCAAATTTCTCAAATGGTTTTGTGTTTGGCGTTGCGGTATACATACAACAAATGAATTTTCTCGATCTTTAGCACTTTTTGTTTGTGGAACAAGTAAAATGTCTTATTGTTTTCTCAATCTTCCACAAAAACGGTTCATTAGTATTAGGATAGATTACGTCTTATACGTCCAATACGTATGCCGAATCTTACTTAGGAGATAAGTTTTGCAATTTAAACTTTTTTCTTCCAAATATATCTCGTGAAGTACAATCAAACTTGGATAGTTAAACTTACTCCAACTTTGTAACAAACTAAAATAGAAGTAGTCAGAACGTAGGCCGCGGCACACACTTCAAGATACGAAGTTTGCTACTTTAATTTTATATTTAGGATAAATAATTAGCAATGTTGCAAATTTCAATGAATGGAAATTTTCAATTTCTTTCAATTTTAAAGGTGAGTCCGCCAAATGTTACCTACCATGCACCCTTCTACGTACTCATATGTGAGGGTCCAGGTCTTCCATTGGCTGGAATGCACAATTCTACGAGTCACAAGCTCCTGAAAATACTCTATGATACCAGGATTACGCAAGGAATAATATTGGGAGGCTTGGCGCTACCACAGAAGAGATCTTTTGAGGTAACATTTGCAATTTATTACTAAACAATAAAACAGTTATCATACAGGGTGACAATTCAAATACCATAAATATAGGGAATGCGTCCAAAACATCTCAATCAGAAAAATCTAGAATACATATGGGAAAAACAGGGCTAGAACGAAAATAGCATACTTATTTCACTTCACGGCATTACCTAAGGGGGTAACTACCATGTTTTAATTTTATTACATACTAGCTTACCCGGCCACGCGTTGCTGTGGCTCAGTCAGTGATACTTTATTTTTAAATTCTTGGATACTCTGGATACTTTTTTTCTCACGCTCCATTTTCCTCGGAGCGAATCCACAAAAATCAAGTCTAGCCGAGTTGCGGTTTTCTTCAAAATTACAGAAATCTGTAATCATGCAGCAGCAGCGTGCAGATTTGTAATTCGTACGAAATCCGTGCGGTATGCTACGTTAACATATTATAGAGTGACTATCAAACCACAGTAGCGACAATTGCTGTCTTATTTTTGATTAGTTCTTTGAAATCCTATATATTCATATGGAAAACGTCTACATTTTGTGCCCACCCTTTGGTAAATTTGAATATGAATATATAGGATTTAAATGGACATCCATCATCGTAAGAAAACTGAAAACAACGTATTTGATGACTATTATTATAGGTACATCAAATGCCTTTTTCTCAATTTTTTATGAAGGATGCCCATTCAAATCCTATATATTCATATTCAAATTTACCAAAGGGTGGGCACAAAATGTCGGCGGGACCTCTATTGTTGCCAAGGTTTATTTAGCCAATGTATTTACAACGTGCCAAGATTACCTTTAACTATTTCACACTTATTTTCAATTTTCCATTCGAAATTCCTATAGATATTTAATTTTTCCCTGATTTTATTAGGCTTTGTTTACATTTTTCCTCTATAAAAATTCAACAATAATTACAGTAATTGCAGATCCTGTAAATTTTCTAAACTTTATTATTTGAATTCTATTTTCACTTGTGACGACTAATGATTTTCCTCGATTTTAATCAATATTTTAATTCCATTTCAAAATCTATTTTTCATGTGAACAAACAATTATTTCTTGGGTTAGGTTTTCCAAATTGTGGTCCGTTCACGAATGTGTACCGCATGCTGCTCGTACTCTGCTGTCGGTTGTTGAAAAGTACTCGATTTAGTTCTGCATCCAGTTCCATCATTGGTTCCATAAACCATCGGATTGCTCTATTTGCTCTCTATTCCATAGTGACACTTAAAAGTCATGTCACTTATGATTTGTATGCCAGCCGACGGCAGAAATATCATTCATTTTCGTCAATTGACCTTCCGATTAGTAATGTTTTTGGGATCATCGATTCTTTTGTGTGCGTTTATGTTTTGCAACACGGATTGCTTACTCAATGTCATATTTTTCAAATTATGATTGTTCTATTGGAAAATTACTTGTTATCATGAGTCGTCGGCTGTTGTAATTTTTCTCAGATTATATTGGGGTGTGTAATTTTTGGTATCTACATAAAATCCTCCTTGATTTCTTTTTGACGTTTGTCGATACTTTGGCCTCATCTCCACTCCTTACCTCTAGGACAGCTTATTAATTTATGTGATGCTTCTTTCTTTCATGTTTGAGAGTTCCGAGAAATAAGGTCTTTCTAAAGAAGTTAAATTTTGTCTTCGCCTTTGAGGAATTTCGACCTGATATTTTCTCTTATTGAATTTATTCTACATTGAGTTGTCTTACGTTGCGTTACGTTTCCGTAAAGAACCATAATTTCGCCGATAATTTCGGATTTTTACAACCATCCGTTTGTTAAGTTTTGCTTTGCACGTTGTTCGCCATAGTGGATTCTAACCTTTTCTATTTAATCATTGGTGAAAAGCTGCTCTAAGAAGTAGAGCAAAGACCACCTCACTCACTCAAGGATCTCGAATCCAGACCTTGATTCAGACTATTTTCGATGCAAGTAAAACCCATTCCAACAGGTGAGACATAACCTAATAACGACAGATTTTCTTTGGAAACTAGAACCACATTTTCTTTCCTTTCAAACCTATTTAATTCTTCTATTGTTTCATTGTGGAATATAACCACAAAAATTAGTAAATAAACAGACTCTTTAGCAATTGAATTATATTGACTTTTGTTTAGTTTTATGCACTCAGCCTAGTTGTAAGGACCTGGAACCAGATAAAATCCTGGAGAGTCCGACTCATCTGTCCTGAGTCGGTGGCGTCCAAAAATAAACCCAAAAATAAATACTCCCCTACTCTCGGAATTGTGTAATCCCGAGTTAGGGCTTAATTCGCAATGCACGTCGACTTCCAGTCCTGCAATCTCAAGTATCCTCATTGAATTTAATTTAACTTTCTTTTTTAACTTTTCATCACCGAAAAAGCAACTTCTAAATATCCAAGTTGCACATCACTGCTAAAAATGTTTCAATCGATCTGAAACCCTACGGGATTGAGAATAGAATGTTCCCACATAACAGTGAAAGAACATTCATATTCTCAGAATATTCCCTCAAAGTGTTTTTTGGAATGTTCTTTTAGGAATGTTTAATGAATATTCTTAGATTGTTTCGATTGAAATATTCATTTTTGGATGTTCTATGTATGTACTAGGAATGTTGCTTCTATGCACCTACCTGAAAGATTGTGCTAAGAACCTACTTTATATAACATTATTTGATTATTGTTATACGAACATTATTATTTATTATAATGTACCCTAAAAAATGTTCTTTCGGCTAATATCTCTATCAAGTATTAAGAATATACCTACCAAGTTGTGCTGACAAGTTTATGTAGGTAGGTAACATGATAAGAATATTTTCAAATTGTTCACCTAATTATCTAAAGTTTCTACTCAAAAATCTTAATTGAACAATTAAACAAAAATGCTCTATCTAGAACCTACTAAGAATATTATAGGTATATTTTTTTTCTCTTGCTTTGTAGCACTTTCAAGAGAGGGAGCCACGCGCTATTAAAGATCTACATCTTGCCTAGCGTTTGAATCACCTTGGAACCAGAAAGGTGAAAATTATTGTTAGGGCAACCTCAGGGTAAAATTCTAGAATTTTATTTAAGGGGCACTTACCGAACGTAAATCAGTATCAAGTGATTTATATAAGATTTCCAAATTTATATTACCATTTTCTTGAGTATTTTCATTTTCAACACCTTCAACGTTTTCGCTTTGGCAAAAAAACGAATAGTCCTGCTCATTCGGAATTTCCTCTTTTTTTTCCAAATGCTGGGAAGCCTCTACTACGGCTAAAAAATTGAAGTTTAGAAAGTAACATAGAATTCACAGTACTTTGTTAAATAAGGTTCATTTGGCTTAGTTTTGAAGCACACAGACTCTTTGAATATTTGGGGTTGAATGCTGTGTGCACGTTCAAGGATTGACTGAGATTGAGAGATACAAAAACCTTTTGATCACTCTTTCAATATTGACTGAAAACTTTTCAATTAAGTATATACTTACAACCATAACTATCTGGTCGAATATCTGGTATTCCCACTTCTTGGCTTAAATCAACTGATGTAGAAGCACAACGACCACGTGCTTTTACACCCTTGTTTTTGGATACAAGGATGTTTCGTTTCTGATGTTTTTGATTTTCTTTCCCACACATCAGCTCATGAACGTTTTGACATAAAACCTCCTTTTCTGTCTGGATAACTTCTATCCCGGATCTAGGAGAAAAATTTAGATTAGAATCCCAAAATTTAATGATGTAATAAAAAGAAACAGCGCAAAAACACAAAAACGTTTAGGTACTTACAGGTTTTTCAAATTTTTGAACTCCTTCAGCCACAACTTTACCAGTAACTCCAAATGTTCTTTTAGGGTTCTTACAAGAAAGTGTTTTTTCGTCAGAGACAGCATATTCTCTTGAATTATGTTCCATGCTGCTGGATTATCAATGGGGTTCTGTCCCAAAACCTCTCTTAAGAGACTGAGATCATCATGATCCGTGAAACGCAGCCGTTTTTTTGTAATTTGATCCATCATTGATAAGAACAAATTAGCAAATAATAAAAACTAATAATTCACAAATACAAATTAAAAACAAGTCCACGAAATACAAATTGCAAGTCCTCAAAATAGAAAATTAGCACATGGGGCAAAGTCAAAGAGATAAACATAAACAAATGTATGTTTTAGAATGACAGACAAGAGACAAGTGAGTTTGAGGCGTTTTCAAAAATACACACAGGATCCGCCATGATGCCAGATTAATCTATTTATTACCGGATTTGTCAACTATTTTGGTTTAAAAAGTCTTTAGTAACATGAATTCACACCCAGGGAAACATATGTTTGTAGAATTGATGTTTAAATTTTATTTTGATACTTAAATATGAACATAGAAAAATAATTGGCGGCAACCTTGCACAGTTTATTTCCGGTTATTAAACGAACGTAATAGGCCCGCAACTAACGTGAAACGTTATCGCTTAATAGCGTGACCGGTTATTTTTTCGTTTCTGCGCATGTGCATAATAACCGATAACGTGAATTGAACGTTAAATAGGTGGCTTAAAAACTCCCTAATAACATTGATAATGCTATTCATAGGTTATGTGACTTTGTTTGTCGACTTTCTGCCAAAGTCATTCATAATGAAATCTTCAACAACTTTGCGCGCGTCTCAGGGCCAGCTGTCCCGGAACTATGAGTGCTGACTGTACACTAGCCTTCCAATACTAAAGCACGACCTATTTTGAAAATATCAGCCTTAAGAAAACACTTGCATGTTTTTGACGCCAGCTCCCCAACTAATAGAAAGTGTCAGATTGAAATCGAAGGACAATAGGTATAGTTCTCAAGATTTGATGGCATTGCCCAGTCGTGCATTTCTGGTAGCATATCGTCCATTCCTGGAAGAACTTTTTCGTTGTTCAATTATTGGCCTAGTGCTAGTGCAATTTCTTCCTCTTCTATATCAGGGATCTGTCATTTAGAATTGTGGATCGTTTTTAATGTCTTGT